TTTATTACACTATAAATAGTTACATAAATAAAAAAGATTCACCTAAGGATTGTCCTTAGGTTTTATGTGTCAGCGTGAATATGGTGTTTACCCTGCTGTCTCTCAACTTTTGCGTTGCAGGCAAACAGTCGCACCAGCATTTGCGTCTTTTGAAAACAGCAAGACCAGCACTTCGTCTTTGCTGTGTTTCTCATTCCGGGTTGTTCAAATAGCTGATTGCTGTTCCACAAAGCTAAACCTATGCTTATAGGTTGAGAGCGAGCGAGTTTTAACCAATCTGGGCATGGAGGAGGGACAATGTATCAATGCATCACGTCTAGTTTGTCAGGAGACACAAGCCACATGCGTTTCTTTGTCAAATTAGTGTTGTCAAAATGTGATGACGTAACCACACTGATTCCGGAGCCTCAGAGGGTCCGTGAATGTAATATTTTATAGTGATGGAAAGCTTAGACTCTCTTCTTTATGCCAATCTTTGAATTGTACAGATCGGATCAGCGGATCAAAAGTTATTAAACATTTAGGGCCCTATCATACACCCGGCGCAGTGTGGCGCAAGGCGTGGCGCAGTAGTCTTTTGGTAGTTTCAGCTTGCCGCAAGAGTCGTTTTGAGGCGTTGCGCTACGCTGTTTAAATAGCAAATGCATTAGCGCTCATTTTTGCGCCCAGAGGCATTCTGGTCTAAAAAGGAAGGTGTTCTGAGGAGGACCGCTGGCGCATTGCTATTTTGAGGATCTATAATAGATTTTTCATTAGACCAAAACTAACCCGGTCTAAACTCCGGCGCAGAGTTGCGCCTCGCTTACGCACTGCTTAATACGCACAAGAGAGCAATAGGCAAATATCTTTACTAGCGCTGTCAAAATTAACGCGTTAATGCATGCGATTAATTTTAAATAATTAACGCGTTAAAAAAAATTAACGCAATTAATGCAGTTCAGGTTTTTTTTACTTCCTGTTGTGGTGGACGTGTGTTCAACATGCAATAAATGTGCATAAGACCAAGGAAGCACTTTTTGAAGGCAAGTTCCAGTATAAAACAATTAGTTGCATCACAAGTTATCCAAAGTTTCATGCAATTTCGGGTGTTTCATTTTTAACTTTCGACTTCTGTTGTAAGTTGATACCGCATGGCGAACAGAAAGAAAATCCTCCGCATTTCGTGACTCGGTGTTCCTTTAAGGTAAGGTTCCTTTTAAGGCTACACGGTAGAATTTCAATAAGAGTATTATCTTAATCCCCTGCTGAAAAATCCAGCTTAAACCAGCCTAGGCTGGTTTAAGCTGGATTTTTAAGCAGGGTCATATTAAAATCGGAGTATTGGTGTCTTATGTAAATGTACTCAGAACGTCTGGTGAAGTCGCGAGCTGTCAAAGACAGGGCATTACTCTGCCTTTCAGCATGAGCCCTCCAAGTTTAGCGTATTTCCTCATTAAACGCAACGAAAGCGTATGCTTCGCGTTGTTGTGTCAGAATCCTTGTGAAATACAGTAATACTTTAGGACGCTTAGTTTAGGACGCTTAGCAAATTTGATGAACGTGATCATGCGTGTTGAATCTGAGGGGAGTCGCTCCAGTATGGAAGGCCGTTGGGGCCAAAACGTCTGCAGCGCGTTGTGTGTGTCTGTCTGTGTGTGTGTCTGTGTCAGGCCCGTTGAGGGGTGCCAGGGGTGGAGTGAGCGACGTATCTGAGTAGGGGCGAGAGGGGTGTGCAATGTATTTAACGACCAGTTTGCAAGAAATTATCATTCATTTGCGGGCATTTGGGAGTCTCTGTGCACTTGCGGGATACTCCTAGTCTTAGCAACTGGATGAATGTAAAGGAGGATTAAGCAAAATTGTTTCTACTCTATAATTAATGTTCTCAACTCACAGCAATAAAACTTTACAATGAGTGCAACAGTTTGTATTCTATAGTTTATTATTATAATTTTTCATTTTCCATATCTGCAATTCCTGTTTTTTGGCATTTTTTGCAGTCCACTTAGAATCCAACATGGAAATCAATGTTTTCTTTAATGGCATTGATTGTTTTGAAATTTAAATGTCATTAACATGCCTGTGTTTTAATTTCTGTAATAAATATGGCAAGCCAGGATCTTGATGGTTTATTGTGGGTATGTTGTATACATGAAGAAATCTGTGTTACAAGTTAAACAAAAATTCTATTAAAAAATAATATTTTGAATTTAAATATTTTTTCTTGCGTTTACATTAATTTTACATTTAAATAGGCAAAATTACAAGTTTCAATATTTTAAATGCGATTAATTTTTTAAAAAAAGTGCGATTAATTAGTTAATTTTTTTTAATCGATTGACAGCACTAATCTTTACATATGAAAAAATGTAAATATTAAGGATATATATAGTTTATAATAAGAATAGATATAGAATATAAATATAAAGGATTAAAATAATTTTCTAGCCTACATAAATATGAAAAACCCCTGCTTTTATGTCTTCTTCATCTCGGGAGGCTTTTTCAGTTCATTCATAACAATTTGCTTTTGTATAATGTTATTATTATTAGCAGTATTATTTATTATATCCATATTTATATTTGTTTTATTAAAAACAAGCTTAGATTTGCCCACCTGTCTTAGACCATATGGGGCAATGGCATGTGTTTTAGGATATAACTCAGGTTTTTGAGCACATTTTGCTATTATTATTCATTTATTCGTTTGCTAGAAATTAGAACTGAATGTAGGAATAGTTTTGAAACGAATATTTGAGCTTAACAAACAAAATTATTTATTTATAGACTAATTGATGTCTGTGCTAAAGGTTTCCCTATCCAAGAGCGAAAGTGAAAGTAGTTCCATTATCTCTCATTCTCACGCAGTAGATGCTCTGTTTAACAGTTTTCTGTTAAAAAACTGTTAACTGTTTGCTTGTGAAATGCTCATTTTTTCCACTTAGACTTACTTTGCGTCCAGTAAATAGCGAATGCGCTCTTGGTGCGACGCAGCTGACTCAGATCTCTGAATTTGAGATGAGATTCTAATTGGTTTATTCTCAAAACACACCTATAACTCATTAAAAAAATAAACTCAACCCTTTTAGAACATGCGCCGCAGCGCAAGGCAGATTTCCCATCCTTAAATTAGCAAAAACGCGTCCTGACACGCCCTGAAAGCGTTTGCGCCCTGCGTTTTGCGCCCTGCGTTTTGCGCTCTGCGCATGGACCGTCAAAATAGAGCCCTTAAGACTTATTTATAGCCGCGGGCGGCTGATTCGGTCTTTAAGGGTTAATGTGACTTTTTTCATTTTATACGATTCTTTTTACAGCATCAATGTTGTAATGTAATTACAATACATTAAGTTGAATAGACTTTGGCATTTATTTTGTTGTTCAAGTGTAAAACAAGAAGAAAAGCCGTTTACACGCACAGGCCTGTCAGGATTATCAGGCTAGTGCAAAAGCTCCATTGAATATACTGGGGTAAAATAAATGTTCTTATTTTGAAGACATGGCAGCTAAAAATGTAATTTCATGCAGTGCTTTTTGTACAATCTGAGACCCACGTTATATTGGATATTACTCAGCCAGAGGAGATCGCTGATATAAAAAAAAAAAAAAAACAGACGCACTGATTTTGTAATGGCAAACAGTTGACCGGAAACACTTAACCTAGGTTACTTACAAATTTTAAGTCCTTCTGCATACTTCCGCATATACCCTATTGGTTGGTTTTAGAGAAGGAGGAGGGTGGGGGGATCAGTCAATCGGTCAGTCAGTCAGTCTAGTTAGTTAGTTGAGAGTGACCTCTGGTGGATTCACACGAGAAAAATATGACATTTAAAAAAGTTTACACAGCGGCCTCTGGTGGATTCGTGAAAACAAGAACTGCAAAAAAAGTAGCTCCTGGGATGTATTTAGTGGTCTCTAAAAATGTATATAGAGATACATTTTCAGAATGAGCCTGTTTTTTTGTATGGAGTGTGCATGTTCGTTTGGAATAGTTGGCAGTTCATTCCGCTGAGGCACACCCATGAAAAATAAAGGACTCAGCCGAAAGAAAAAGAATGAAAGAATAAGTCTCTAAAATATTGACTACTTGTTTGTTTGACATTTACACACATTTGCAGTAATACAGAATTGATATTAAGTTTATCTGGACATATATATATATATATATATATATATATATATATATATATATATATATATATATATATATATATATATATATATATATATATATATATATTTTTTTTTTTCTGTTGTATTTACTTTTATTTCTTATCAGAGTATCGCAAACACTAGCTGATTTACCAAGCAAGGTTACTGTCAAAAAACCCTCAACAGTACACCAAGGATGTTGTGAAATCATTTTAAAACTTATATAAATGGATTTGACTGCTTTTAAGTGTTTTTTTAAATTCATAAATAAATTTTAAGTCTTACTAGTTGAAGGTTTTTTCATCTGGATGCTTCCAGAGCAGACTGTTTTTGACACAGAAGCGTAGAGTTGACAAAGGGGGAAACAGGAAACCTATTTCCTGTAAGCAGGTGAAGCTTCATTGGTGCTCTTTCATTTATTCTCCAAACCGCAGTTCTTGGGCTGCAAAACTAGAACATTTCAGAAATGCATGTCTTTTGTTTTCTTTTAAGATCATAACGAACAAAGTTTTATTTGCAATGCCATTGCTACATAACCACAAAATATCTCTTTTTGCAATCAGTTTGCAAGTGCTTTTTGGATGTGCCAAAGCAATAAACGCTTGCAAAAGAGGATCTGTGAGAAAATGATTCACTCATTTATCCGCATGGACACACATATAGTCAAATATGTAAACCCACACACGCACACGCACACACACACACGAAGATTAAGACAATGGCACAACCTCCACATTTACAGAAGCACTCATCTAAATCAAGGGAAATTATGCTCATCATTACTCAGAGCTTAGAGAATCAGTCATTGACATAGCATCATTATAGATCTATTCACAAACACAGATTGGATTTTATAAAAAGGAAGACTCTCATTTCCCATATTTCTTCATCATTTATTTTTCTTTGTAAAAGAACACTCTTCCTCTTAGTTATTTCATGGAAAGTACCGGGGCTTTGGAATGAAGGTAAGGGTTTCCTGGAGGGACAGTAGTGATCATACTTGATAGTGGAGCTTTGCGTCCATAGAATGAGGAGTTCCATGTGCCAGGAAGGCTCCTAGGAATAAATGATAATGATCAAATTAAAGACATATTCTATGCACTGCGGCATGATCTTCAGCTAACACAAAAAATAATATTATTCATCACAAAAATCTGAATTTTTTTGTTCTCCCAAGACATGATATGTACTTTGCTAGGATAGTTTAGCCAAATATTAAAATGATGTCATCAATTACTCCCCCTTTACAAGTTTCAAACTGGTTCGAGATTAATTCTTCAGTTGAACACAAAACATATAATAAAGGATGTTGAAAAAGAAGCAGCCATTAACCTCCACAGCAGTGGTGGAAAGGGGGCTGAAAATCATACTCAAATAAAAGTACCATTAATTGGCCAAGACGTGTGCAAGCAGAGTTAAAATATCTGTTGTAAATATTTCTTAAAGCATAAGTAAAATGTAGCCCTTTTAAAAGTACTCAAGTGACTAGGGAGTATTACACTGTGAAAGGTTGATGTGTTTACATGCAGTTATGTGTGTGAAAATTTAACATTCCGCAATGCAGTTAGTGATTGTTTAAGACCATTTGACCATCTTTTCATCAGTGACACGCCATCTAAACTGTCTTGGAGTGATTGCGTGTGAAGATTTTGGACATCTTCTTGGACACTTTGCAAACATGTATTGAAATAGTTTGTTATGATAAAAAACTTTTTATTATTTGATTGAACAGGAACTGCAGGACTGCAGGACTGCAGGACTCCCCATAGAGAAGAAAAAAATAAGTAGGTTGAAGGAAAATAGAGTAATAGTATCAAAATGTACTCAAGTGAAAGTAAAAGTACACATTTTTAAAGCTACTTAGTTACAATTCCTGAAGAAAATACTTAATTTGTAATACTTAAAATGTAATTTGTTACTTTACATCACTGCTCCACAGACGTTTTTGTTCCAACGTCAATACTTGAGCTTTCCAGCTCAAATAAAACAAATTCATTAATTTGCTTTTCGGCTCAGTCCCTTTATTAATCCGGGGTCGCCCAAGCGGAATGAACCACCAACTTATCCAGCACGTTTTTACGCAGCGAACACCCTTCCAGCCTCAACCCATCTCTGGGAAACATCCACACACACTCATTCATGCACAAACACTCATACACTATGGACAATTTAGCCTACCCAATTCACTTGTACCACATGTCTTTGGACTGTGGGGTAACCGGAGCACCCGGAGAAAACCCACGCGAACGCAGGGAGAACATGCAAACTCCACACACAAATATTAACTGGCTCAGCAGGGACTCGAACCAGGTAACTCATGTTAGCTTTTATAAAATTATACGATTTTCATTTCTGTCATTTCATCAATTCAAAGAACCTCAGTTTACCCTTGATATTACATTCTTACGTAAAAAAAAAAAAAAGATCTTTTGTGATGGTCCTATACTGACATTTTGGTGCATCTTGCCGGCAATGATGGAAAGAGTACTGCAAAATCATACTCATGTAAAAGTACCATTAATTGCCCAAAAATATAGAGCGAGTAAAAGTATCTGTTGTAAATATAACCCAAAGTATGAGTGAAAAGTAGCCCTTTAAAAGTACTCAAGAGTAGTGAGTATTACACTTTGTCTAATCTCCATAGACAGGAAATAATAAAGTAGTGACCACAGGTTGAGGGAAAGTAGTGGAGTAAAAGTATTAAAAGATACTGTACTAAAAATTTTATCAAGTGAAAGTAAAATTACACATTTTTGAAACTACTTAGTTAATTACAATTTCTGAAAAAAAATACTCAATTACAGTAGTTTGAGTATTTGTAATTAGTTACTTTACACCACTGCTTGCCGGTTCCACCCATGTAATTGCCTTGATTGACAAACCTTGGAGCACTCATTTTAAAGAGACTGCTGGCATTACAAGTATGGGGACTTAGTTTTGGATTGTTATTTGTTTTTTGTTGTTGTTGTTTTCTGGATTTGGGCCCAGTTTGTTTAACATTTATTTCTACACCACAACATTAGAGTTTATGCAAACATTATGCATTACACACTGGCAAGATGACTTTAACAGGCATTATTTTCTTTTATTGTGATCATTTCAAGTTTATAAATTTTTTCCATTGTAAACACTGCTTAGCTTGTGTGCGTCCCTTTGTTTTGTTGCTTACTTTGAGCCAGGGATCATAACAAAGTGGGGGATTGTCCTACAGCTTTTAGTTTGAAAATAATTATTTAATTTGTTTGGGATGCACAATTTTTTTTTTCCTAAGTCTATTCATTCACCTTGCCAGATTGTTGCCAAAAAAGAAGTTTGCCAAACTTTTGTGTAACGAGCATTGTTTTCTTCCAACGTTAGTTTCCCTGGTAGGTGGAGTGGCATTGCCTTCGTGGGTAGAAGTGTTTAAACTCGGAATCTTCTATTTGTCGTGTTGAGCTGATTTAATCAGCTGCGTGGCCCACCCAGTGGGCTTCAGTGCATAAATACCCCCCACAAGTAGTTGCTTGAAGATTCTTTAGAACTGCAGATTCATTCTTTTTTGTCATGGCGGATGCCAAGTCAAAACAACTGGTTGTCACACTAACAGGAGAACAGATACAACACTATTTATTGACAACAATGGGAAAGAGGGTAGGTTTTATAGTTTGTTTGCATTCTTATGTCGTTAAAAGTCTTTTGTAGAATGATGGGCAGAGAATGCAGAAGTAGCTCAAATTTAGAACAGTCTGTAGGCATAAGCTCATGTCGAAGCAACGAGAAGCACTCATAGGCGCAACTGGGAGAGGAGAGAGTCTGGTAATTTCACAGTAGATGGCGAGTGGTTCAACAAACAGTGACTGTTTCTCAATTACAAGAACGATGAGAATGGACTCGTGTTCTTGTGGAGATCGTTCTTTTGAACAGTTGATGATGACATAACACAAGTAAGATCGCTGAAGCATGCATTTTGAGAAACAACCAATGGGTGCAGGGGAATGGCACTGTTTCTTAATTCCAAGAACATAGAGAACAGACTTATGTTCTCTTGGAGACCGGTCTTGCCAGGTTACCTGAAACGTATTCAGAATATCGCGAGAACTATTTATTTTTTTATTTCAAATGTGCATGTGCATTAGCTAGGGCAACCTGAAAAAAATACAATTTTGTTTGATTCGAACATTTAAAAATTAAACTTATGAGACAGTTTTAGTTTAATTTTATTGGAGATTCCAAATTTTTAATGTAATCGAAAGCTCTGCAAACAGTTCATTCAGACAGAATGCTCGAGCATACTACTCGAGATGTTTACTGCATTTCAAAGATGGCCACCAAGTGAAATTACTTGCCTTAAAGGGACTTGGATGCTGTGTTCTTTTCTGATGGTCATATTACCTTCACGTATTTTTAACAAAAAAATATTTAAACGTTACAGTATTCATACAATGATTTATTTTTTTTTCAATAAAACAACTTGATTAAAACTTTATAGAATATAAAAGATTTTGGACAATTTAATTCCAGTTTCAGTAAATAAACACCCTAATGTGTTTATGCCTTTATTAAGAGTTTTATGTTAAAGAGCCCATATTATACATGAAATAGGGTCATATCCTGGTTGTAAGGGTCTCCAACAACAGTCTAATATGCATGCAAGGTCAAAAAACACTTTCATGGTCTTATAATCTGCATTTATTTTTACCTAATTATCCCAGCGACTCCTGTATGAATCGTCCAGTGATTCATTTGTTCCCAAACCCCTCCTTAGCGCGGAGCTAATCTGCGCTGATTGGACCGATGACAGTCTGTCGCGATTGGTCGACTGCCTTCAGTCAGAGAGGGAAATGGCCAATAGCTAATCAGCAATTTAAAAAGTAATCACAGTTCATACACGCTCGATAGTGTAGACGTGGATTTTAGCTGCCACACTATGGCGAGTGGATAGTGCCACGGATAACCGAACGAAGGAGACAGTCGTGTACTCGCCATACCACACACACACAAAAACACACACACACCTCCGGATGACAACGCTCCCGCTTCCGCCCGCACCCGCCAGGTTTTAGCCTGAGAACCCGCTCCGTTTTCTGCCCGCCGCGCCCGGTCCCGCTAGAGCGGAGAACACAACCAAAAATCACCCAGTATACAGTCCAGACAGCCAAGCTGTCTGTATAAACACACACACACACACAGCACAAAGCACACAAAGCGCGTTCGTTCGTTCGTTCGCTCTCTCTCTCTCTCTCTCTCTCTCTCGCTCTCTCTCATACGCGCGCGTGCGCACTAACACACACACAAGCACCACGCAGACTCTCTCTTTCTAATTCGCATAGCAATATCCGTGATATTGCTAGACAGCCCGCTCCCGTCACAAATTAAACCCGTTACCGACCGCTCCCGCGATTTATTCGGAAATTTATTCCCGCGGGGACAGCCGCGGGAATAAATTTCCGAATAAATCGCGGGAGCAGAACTCTAGCACTGAGCTCCATAAACAAACAGCACGCGTCGCGTTTTTAACGTGACTTTGCACGCGATAAGATAAAATATCCAGTTAACCTGATACAGTACACGCGGTTACAAGTAACAAATCACAACTAAATACATTTGCAAGCTAGAGTAAACGAGGCAACAACTTTAACCGCACGTACTTACACTTGAGAAATGGAAGAAACCCATCCTGACGTCCATCAGTTACTCTTTACTGATCCTTCCTTTAACAAACTCAGATGAAGTATTCTTTGTAGCATGTAGCTTCCAGAAGTTTCCAACTGCTTGGCTATAATGCTGAGGTTTCATCTTTGGGTAGAGACTCAATAAAATATCCATCTGCAGTGTGACTTCAATCGACCGGCATGTTTGTGTGCGTGTGTTTGTGGGTGTGCGTGTGTGTCTGGGTTTCTGCGTCAGAGGGCGGGGCCTCAGGTTTGAAATCTCCCGGGTTTGCGCGTGCACGTGAATAACTTGGTTTCGTTCGTACGTCATGGCGAAACACCTAATGAGTCGGTATCAAGGCGACTCGTTTGAAGCACTATGAGTCGACTCTTTTATAGATGAATCAACCGTTTTAAACACTGTAT